CCTCTCCGGGAGCCGCCGCCGCCCTCGGCCTCATCCTCAGCCCCACTCGCGATAGTGAAGCCCCAGGTCCAGATCTGCCCGGGCCGCGTCGCGGGCGCCCTCCGGAGGCCATCTTGTGCACACTGCCCGCTCGGAGCGCGAGAGGCGGGGCGGACCCGGGGGCGCCGAGGGCAGGGGGTGTGGTCTTCTCGCGTGAACTGATGGCGTCACCGACGCGACGGGCCCGGAAGGAAGTAGCGTGCTCTGAGGGGTGTGGCGGTTTCTGCGGTTGCACTGGGGGTTCGGACGAGTACGGAGCGCCTGGAGGGACAGCCTGGTACGCGGCCCCCGCCCCTTATTGCGCGCACCGGGCCTGGTGGCCGCTCCGAGTCGGAGCGGATCGGCGATCCAGCAGAGCCCCGGCCCCGGCCCCGGCACCCTCTCCCCGGGGCGCAAAAGAAACCCCTTTCTGTGCCGTCCCCTCTCCACGAGCCCCCGAGGCGGCACCGAGCAGGGGCTTTGAAGGAGCCCTAGCCCCAGCCAGGGCGCCGGGCACGCGCGAGCTTCTCCCGGAGGAGGGGGCGCGAGGTGGGGTGGGGGGGACCCGGGGAAGGGCAGGGATTTGCAGAAGGGGACGCATTTGCAGGTCGGTAGCTGGAAGCCGCCTCGGAGGTGCCTGGCCCCCTAGTTATGTGAGGGCCAGGAGGCAGAACCCAGGCGCCCCCGACTGAACTTTGCTAGCAGTCACCGCGGCTTCTCCATATCGTTCGGTGTTTCTAATGCCAGCTCTTGGGCGTCCTGGTGCCCGAACACGGTTAGACCCAGGAGCTGAGAGCCTCCCAGCCCGGGATGCCCAAGTGTAACGGGAAGGAGTGTGGCTTCAGTCCCACTGAGGGCCAGAGGTGCACCTGAGCTGGGGAATCCTGCCCCGGAACTCTGCTCGCGTGCTGTCACGCCAGCCAGCGACCCAAAGGAGTAAATGGTGGTTTGCTTCGCTACAGCAGGCAATTAGGGCCAGGATTACGTGGCCACAACCGCCTGTCAGCGGACGTGCTCTGTAATTTGGGCCAGTGTACTACAGCTGCCTCTGTTCCCGGAGCCAGAGCCGGAGGCCCCGGGAGCCCGCGCGTTCCTGTTCGCAGGAGGAGCAGGCTGCGTCCGGAACCCTGCCCAGCTGGCACTGGCTCTTCCTCCCACGAGGGCTGTGTCTGGCGGGGGAACAGGGTCGCAGCGTTAAGGAGTGGGGGGATGTTGACCGAGAAAAGGGGGAAATGAAGTCGGGATCTAGCCCGTGTTCCCGCTTGCACAGGCTGACCCCGCTCACTCCTAGGGAGACGCTGTCCCTGGCCGCAGCCTCTCTCCTGCTCATGGGACCGCACACGTCTTCCTGTGTCTTTTTCCTCAGGGTAAAGGCTCACCGATGGCTCAGCTGGGAGCGGTGGTGGCGGTGGCTTCCAGTTTCCTTTGTGCTTCTCTCTTCTCAGCCGTGCACAAGATAGAAGAGGGTCATATTGGGGTGTATTACAGGTAAGACAGAGTCAGGTAGAAGCTGTGAAAGCACTCGGTTACCTAAGGCACCAGTAAGGCAGATTCTGCCGCCTGTTTATGTTTTATTGAATAGGAAAGTCTGAGATTTCTGTCAGTATCCATGACCATTGCAAAGTGTGTGTGTGTTATACGGGAATTTAAAGCTTCCCTTAGTGTTGTAAGATGATGCCACAGACAAGGATTGAGAAACCCGTATGTAGGTTAAGAGATGAAGCCTGAAGGAAAGCGTTATCTCTTGAGATCATCACCAAAATGTTATTTTCTCCTGTATCCCTCTGGGAGTCTTGGCTCTCCACCCCCTGGGTTCCCTCTCTAAAAGCCAGCTAAGTCCCCGTTGTTGAAGGCAACTGGGGAAGACAGCCTGCTCTGCTCTTTGGGGCCATTCTCCTAAAATTAACACTTCATTTAAAAAAATGAAAGCACCTGCAGGTTGATTGGCTTGCCAAGGCAAGTCTTGGGAAGTGGTTCTGACAGTAAGGCAGCCCATTATGTCACTTTTTTTGGTAATCATTTTAACTTCATAACATAAAGCAAAGAAGCGCTTTTAAGTCTTGGGTATTTTCTTTTTAATGTAACCTCCACGACCAAGTTTTTTGCTCCCAAATCTTTGTGGAGCCCTTCTGTTTGCTCCCTGGCTCTTCTTTCTACATTGCCAACAGCAAGTCCTGGAACTTTGGTTTTGGGTTGACATCGCCATCTGCTTACATGTTCCCATAAAAGCCTTTAATTTTTATCATGTACATTCAACTTGATTAGAAAAGTAATTCTACAGCTAAAACAAATATTTAAAGTACGTAATTCTTTTGGCCGATCGTGTCAGCAGACTCCAATACTAGTCCAGTTAACTGATAACCATACTCATATTACTGGATTCAGTTGTCCAGATAGATTGCCACGAGCCACATAGACAAAGTAAAACTGACATCCTGTCTTAAGTATAGCCAGAGATTCTGCTGTCTTTATGCCACTCAGTGTGTGTGCTTAGTTTTCTCGTTCAACAAGCATGAATAATGGTTTTCTGTTTACCCATGAGGCTTCCTAGAGTATTAGGGTGAAGCTAAGTGGGAGGACATGGCTCTGGCCCGTTTTCCTCTGTATTAAATGTTCATAGGGCCAAAGAGACAGTTGGCCCGCGTGGCATGGGTCTAACAGATCCCTCTGACCAAACTGAACCTGCCTCTCTCTCTCCCATGCAGAGGCGGTGCCCTCCTGACTTCCACCAGCGGCCCTGGTTTCCATCTCATGCTCCCTTTCATCACCTCCTATAAGTCTGTGCAGGTATACATGGCTTGTGCGGTGTGGGGGGACAGCTGCAAATTGGGCCCGTTGACTGATGCGTGATTGGAAATTACTTAGCCACTGGATGAGCGAATGCGCTCTCAGAAATTGGCCTGCAGATACATGTACACACAGGCTCCAAGAGCGAGGCTCTTGGCGCCGTACTTGGTTGTTGAACTAGCTGAGTGGGCTCCTTACCTTGGCCCATCAGCCCCAGCCAGGAATTATCTCTTCACTTGAAGACAAAGCCGTTGAAGGATCTGTTCTGAATGTATAGAAGGAGAAGTCAGGTATATGTGTCTGCTTTAAGTCACAGGCTACCGCAACAGATAAAAATAAAGCATGGTGATTTTGCTGGTTCTTATTTGAACCTCAGAAACAGGAACTTTTTTTTTTTTTTTTTTTTTGGTGGGAGGGGAGAGGGCAGTTGGACTGGATAGAATAAGATGAGCTGCAGCAGACCTAAAGCCTGGTGGAGTCCGATTGGCCACCTCTGGAGCGGGTCAGCCTGTGAAGGCTGAAACGATTCCGGGAATGACTTTGAAGCTGACAGGCAGACGTCCTGCGGTACCTCATAGGCGTTCTCCTGGGAGTTTCTCAGCCACTCACCGTGCTTTCTGGCCTTCAGAGTGCACTGGGGTGCGTTATCTCATTGGGGTCTGGCGTGGTCCTAAAAATGGGCTGAGCAGGTGTGACAGTCTGAGACAAGCCCAATGGGAGTCTGCTAGTTCTGAACTAGTCAGTTGACAGAAGAGTAGAAGGAAACCCAAGTCTGGAGACACTGCAGAAAAAGCCAGAGCTTCTTCACCAGATCCTTAGTACACAGCTGGTTTACTTGGTGACTCACCTACAGGAAGCTGGGCTAGGCGCCTGGCGTGGTTTTGCGTCTCAGCCTGAAAGGAAGGAACAGGATTCGGGGGGGTATTCATGTTTAACACGGGCAAAACTCGACCCAAACAGCCAAGGGCAAGGCCACGTGGGACTCTGTTTGTCACTGCCCACCTTACGGCATTTGGTGTTTCCTCTGTTTCCAGACCACACTGCAGACAGATGAAGTGAAGAACGTACCCTGTGGGACCAGGTAAGGTGCCCAGAGTAACACTTAAGTCCACATAAGTGAGAGGAAAGGCTGGCTGGCGGACTGCGCCAAGAGACCGGATCGGGGAGGCACCCAGTTCTCTGGCCCTGGTGCCCTAGTTTCTGACCTGACCGGGTTATGGAGTACAGTAGCGAACATCATAGAAGGCTTAGGAGGGGCTGGCACGCCACCAGAAGTTAGCACTTACATTAGCAACGGTCCGGCCCGCTGAATGCGTTTAGCAGATACATGACAGCTTGAGCATCGCTAACTGGAGAGCGCCATGAAGGTAGAAGAGACACCCCCCCCCCGCCGCCGCCGCCAGGCAGAACGTCCGAGAGAACCTGTCAGTGGCCCAGCTGAAGGGCAACGAGTGTCTAAGCTGGGATGTAGTGAGCAGGTGAAAGACGCCACATAGACAGCCCACAGAACCGGCCTGCTCTCCCAGCAGAGTCATTGCGTTAGGTGGGGTGCAGGACTGAAAAAGGGGCTCACCGCTGACGGGCAAATGCAGGGACAGCCACGGCGGCACAGCAGGTTAAGCTGCCTTTTCAGAGGGCCGCTTCTCTGCGTGCAACCCAGCTAGCTGCTGATGCACCTGGGAAGGCGGCAGGTCATGGCCCAGATACCTGGACCCCTGCCACCCCCGTGGGAGACCATGACGGAGTTCTCGGCTCCCGGCTTTAGCCTGGCCTAGCCTCAGTTAAGGAGGGAACCAGAGGATGACAGATCTCTCTCTCTCTCTCTCTTTTTTTTTTTTTTTTTTTTTGACAGGCAGAGTGGACAGTGAGAGAGAGAGACAGAAAGGTCTTCCTTTTGCCGTTGGTTCACCCTCCAATGGCCGCCGCGGCCGGCGCACCGCGCTGATCCGATGGCAGGAGCCAGGAGCCAGGTGCTTTTCCTGGTCTCCCATGGGGTGCAGGGCCCAAGCACTTGGGCCATCCTCCACTGCCTTCCCTGGCCACAGCAGAGAGCTGGCCTGGAAGAGGGGCAACCGGGAAAGAATCCGGTGCCCCGACCGGGACTAGAACCCGGTGTGCCGGCGCCGCTAGGCGGAGGATTAGCCTAGTGAGCCGCGGTGCCGGCTCTCTCTCTCTCTTGTCTCTCCCTCTCTCTCTGTCACTCTCCCTTTCAAATAAATGAAGATCTCTGAAAAGGGACACGCAGTGGTGGACCTTGGTTAGAACCTGGTTCAAACCTGGCAGCTGTGGAAGCTACGTGGGAAGTATGGAAGCTACGTATGGAAGCTACATGTTATAGCAGCTCAGGCTGCTGTAGCAGAGCACCACAGGCTGGGCGGCTTAGACCACAGACATTTGTTTCTCCTGGTGCTGGAGGCTCCCACTCCAAGATCAGGGCTGGTTTCTGGGAGACCTCGATTCCTGGCTTGCACGTGACTGCCTTCTTGCTGTGTCCTAGCATGGCCTTGCTGAGCCCGCCAGGAGAGAGAGGGCTCTGATTCAGTGTCTTCCTCTTGTTGTACAGACCGCAGTCCTGTAGGATCGGAGCCTCACCCTTACGACCTGCTTAACCCCAGTGACCTTACTAAAGGTCGTATCTCCAAATAAGGTCACACTGGGCATCAGTATGTGAGCACACAGTTTGGTCCACAACAGGAACAGCTGGGGGAATTTACTTAAGATCTGGGTATTAGATGATACTAAAAATTACTGCTAATTTTCATAATACAGAGGTTACTGTCAGGCAGTGCTTGCTAAAGCATTAAGGTGTAAAATATAACTGCAACTTTGAAATGTTCAGTAAAAAACAAAATCAGTAAATAAGGTAAAGTGGTATTGATGTTGAACTTGGGTGTTGGTATGTAGGTTAGTTGTACTATTCATTCAGCTTTTCTGTGCATTTGGAAAACTGTTTCCTAATAAATATTTGAGAGAATAAGAGTGCTGAACTATGGTGATATGGCCAAAATAAATGGTGATATAGCCAAAGCAAGAAACGTTGACCATAAAATTCCACAATGACCCTGTACGTTCTGAAACCTCTTTTCATCTTTCCCAACAATTGATTGTTCTCAGCAAAAGGCATTGCTGATTCAAAAGATACGAACCATGTCCTTTCTTGCCGACACCCCAAAAAGTCTCACAAGCGTGTTGTAGGAGGTATGAGTTCTTGGGCAGTTGTGTTGTTGCTCCAAGCTCTGGGGGTCTCCTGACCTCCTCTGAGCTCCAACCCCTTTTCTGCCGCGTCTCCCATCCTAGCCCATCCCTGTAGGAGACTGAAGCGTATTGCAGATCTCATAGTGACTTCCGGTGCGTTCTCCCCTCCCACAGTGGCGGTGTGATGATCTACTTTGACAGAATTGAAGTGGTGAACTTCCTGGTCCCGAATGCAGGTACGCGCCCACCGCACCTCCAGCTTCCCCTCCCCAACATGCTCCCCACCCGCCCCACATCTCAGAAAGCCCTGGGACTTGGATCTTCCTGTGCTGAGCCATCTCCTTCCCTCCCAGTGTATGATATAGTGAAGAACTATACTGCCGACTACGACAAAGCCCTCATCTTCAACAAGATCCACCACGAGCTGAACCAGTTCTGCAGTGTGCATACGCTTCAAGAGGTCTACATCGAGCTGTTCGGTGAGAAAGGCTCCTGCCTGTCCCCGCTCCAGTTCGGCTGTGCAGTCACAGAGAGCGCGCCCAGCAGTGTTAGGGTCCTGGAGGAAGATCCCCAGAGCGGCAGAGCTCAGCACACAGGACAGCCCTGGTGGGGTGTTCCCTTCCGGCCTGAATCAGAGGACTGGAATGGAAAAGTGTTCCCACTGGCCCGAAATCCGCCTTCTGCAAAGAACACAGGTCAATTCTGGAAGAACCTTAGAGACGATCCAGCCCCACCATGTCAAAGCGAGGAAGGCACAGCTAGTGGCTGCTTCCTCTCCTGGCTGCCACCTAGTATTTTCACCGAGCCACCCGAAAGTAGGGCACCCAGGGAGTGGGTGATGCGAATGGTGTGGTTTACAGTTAATTCTAGAAGTGAGATGAGAACTTACAGTTCCCCTTACAGTCCCTAGAGCATTTGTGTTTATTATTTTTCCCCCTGTACCTATAGAGGTAGATTAGGAAACACTTTAAAAAAAAAACATGGGATTCTATTGCTAAGTAAACCCCTTTTGTCCTTTTACCTGGTCAGAGCAAGCACAGCCCAACTTCAGCAGCAGAGGAAGGAAACGTTTCCGTAACTCGGAGCTCGTTAGTGATAGTGTTGTTTAAACTTGCTTCTAGAAATTTTCCAGGAGCCAGTGCCAAAAGTCAATGCATTTTTAACCAGTGGTACAACTGCTCTTTTTTTTTTTTTTTTTAAGATTTATTTGTTTATTTGAAAAGCAGAGTGAGAGAGAGGGACAGAAGGAGATCTTTATCCACTGGTTCACTCCCCCAGATGGCCACAATGGCCGGGGCTAGTCCAGGCCAAAGCCAGGAGCCTGGAACTCTATCCGGGTCTTCCATATGGGTGGCAGGGGTCCAAACACTTGGGCCATCTGCTGCTGCTTTCCTAGGCACATTAGCAGGGAGCTGGACTGGAAGTAGAGCCACCATGACTTGAACTGGCACTCATATGAGATAGCCTCATTGTAGGCGGCAGCTTAACCCTCTCTACCACAATACCAGCCCTAGGATTCCATGTGCTTTTTAAGAAAATGATGGTAAATTTATTGCTGATTTTTTTATCCCAAACAGTTTTATAAAATATTCATTTTCTCTCCAGCCATTGTTTTAGGACTTGTACCATTAAGTGAACATTTCAAAGCATTTGAAATAGCAAAAGAAAATGGATCTTTAACATTCTCAAAAAGAAAATTAAACCACTAAATTGTTTTTCATTAGAACACTTCTTACTGTCTGACAACCTTGGTGGCTTCGTGAAAGTAGTTTCTTGTTTAGAGGAGCTGAGAGAAAGTGCTTTCATGCTTTTTTCCTTTTTAAATGTCAGTCTTGCTGGCACGCAAGAATCTTGCTTAGAATCTGCATCCATAAAGGCGAGGTGTGTGTCCGGTCCTGTTCCTTGAACCCCCAGGGTCCTTGGGTGCTCCCTCCTCTCAGGACCGTGACCACCTCAGCTTTCACTGGGGCCCCACAGAAGCTTCCTCACTTCCGCCCTGCTGTTCCCAGGGGAACCTCTTTGTGTTTACTCGGTCACATAATTCCACTGGCCTCGATCAACATGACCAGAACAGATGAATAACTTATCAGGAGTTTGAAATGCCTTGCAAAATATTTCTTCTAGTTTCCCATGGCAGGTTCCTGGCCAGGGGCCACAGGTTTCCACCCTGACTCAGATATAATTTGATCTGATAAATAACTGTTCTTATCTTACAGAGGGTACAGGTCATCTTTCCGAAGGTTTGGTGGGTGTTCTGTTTAAATGGACGAACGTGGAATGTAATGGTTATCTCCAGCTGTCAGATGGTCAGGCCCCTCGCTCGCTCAGCGCTCAGCAGCTGAGAGCAGATCCAAAGCGCGGGACATCCAAGCCCTTGCTCACTGACAGGGCAGCTGAGGAGAGTGCTGTCTTAAAACCCAAGTAACCGCGTGCACCAGTTACGCAGCTTCTTTCTTTTGGCCACCACCTGGCTTCTGTGGGCCTCAGCCTGGCATGTATAAGAAGCAGCTGTTCCTCAGAGGCTCTTGTTTGGCCACAGATGACCGAGAAGTGGCCATGGTCAGGTCGCACTCACTCCCCAGACCGCCCTCCCCCTTCTAGCTAACATGCCACCTCCTCTCTCTGGGTCTTTCTTGATTTCAGATCAGATCGATGAAAATCTCAAACTGGCCTTGCAGCAGGACCTGACCTCCATGGCCCCCGGGCTTGTCATCCAGGTAAGCGCTGCCACTCCCTCTGACGTCGCATACCCTCACCCAAGGGACGCCGTTTCTGTGCAGGATGGCGAAGGGCCTGTGGGCACTGCTTGCACTCCTTGCCACCCTCACTCTCCCATCTGTTACTCTTCTGCCCTCCAGGCTGTGCGGGTGACAAAGCCCAACATTCCCGAGGCCATCCGCAGAAACTACGAGCTGATGTGAGTGTACCCTGCACCCAGTTGACCCCCCGCCACCTCATCCCACCCCCGAGTTAACAGAGCTGGGCCAGGCTCTGCAGTTGCTCCCTTCCTGGAGTGTGTGCACCAGGGACTGCGCTGGGAGATCGGGTGGCTGGTTGCAGGCACTGTGATCGAGCCCTGTGGAGCAGGGTGCTTTTACAAGGCCCAGGGGGCCACGTTTGCATTCACTGGCTCCTGCCATAGTGCAGGGAGGAGAGGACGACAACTGAGTGGATAGGCAGGCGTGTCTCCCTGCAGTCCGGTGTTTCATTGCCCACAAATGAGTTACCTTGGGGTGGTGCTGTCCACCCCAGGGCAGCTCTCACCCAGCCGTTGCACGGCTTCAGAAGAGAGTAAGAAATCCCAGACCGTGACTACTGCAGGGAGCACGGAGTCCCTCAGACACGTCTCCTAGTGGCCTCACCGTGGCATCCCTTTCTCCTCTGCAGGGAGAGCGAGAAGACAAAGCTGCTCATTGCGGCCCAGAAACAGAAGGTGGTGGAGAAGGAAGCCGAGACGGAGCGTAAAAAGGCCCTCATTGGTGTGACCGGGGTTCTGCGACCCTGTCTCTGCGCAGGAGGGCTGGGGGCACCAGGGACATGCAGGGGAGGCACAGGCGTGGCCAGACTACTGGGTCCTGTAGAATGTCCCCTCGTGCAGGGCTGATGTCCATGCAGAGTTGACATCATGGCCGGGGTGATGGGTTTTAAGTGTTCACATTGCTTAACCCATTACGACCTAAGTTTTCAGATCTGCATTTCAACACCATAGTAATTGTTTCAAAGTTACCATTTGTGATATATTTATTGCTTAATTTAAGTTTTTATAATTGTCCTGTGTATAGGATGGTGGGATATAGTGGGTTAAATGAGAGCAGTCCTTCCTGTTCATTTTTTTTTTTAAGATTTATTTATTTATTTATTTGAAAGGCAGAGTAACAGAGAAGGAGAGACAGAGGTTTTCAAGCCATTGATTCACACCCCAGATGGCCACAATGCCAGGGATCATGCAGGCTGAAGCCAGGAAATCCATCCTGTTCTCTCATATGGGTGGCAGGGGCCCAGGCACATTAGCAGGGAGCTGGACAGGAAGTAGAACACCCAGGACTCAACCAGCACTCCTCTATGGGATACTAGCATTGACCACGGCTTAACCCACTATGCCACAATGCTGGCCCCATTCCTGTGATGGCTAACACTTCCTGGGAACCATGAACCCTGTACATTATTTTTTAAATATTTATTTATTTTGAAAGAGTTGCAGAGAGACGGGGAGACAGGGATCTTCCGCCCACTGGTTCACTCCCCAGATGGCTGCAACAGCCAGCACTGGGCCAGGCCAAAGCCAGGAGCTTCTACCAGGTCTCCCATGGAGGTAGCCAGACCTCAAGCACTTGGCCCATCCTCCGCTGCTTTTTCCAGGTGCATTAGCTGAGAGCTGGCTTGGAAGTGGAGCAGCTGGGACATGACCTGGTGGCCTTGTGGGATGCCAGCATTGTAGGCAGCAGCTTTACTCGCCACACCACAGAGTCAGCCCCAAGCACTGTGCTTTCCTAATCACGTCCTCACACCTACCACGTGAGGTACATACTCTCCTTAACCTCATTCTGTTGAACTGGAGCACAGAGAGCTTAAGTGACATGCCAGCGTCACGTGGGCGTTAGTGGTGGAGCTGGTGTTCAGATCCTGGGAGTCTGGCCCCGGAACGGGTGCTCATAAATCACTACACCGTCTTAACAACCCATCTGACTGCTCCCTAACATGCAGTGCTAGGTAGAAACCTGTTAGGGGCGCCTTACTGCTTAAATTGTTCCTTCAGAAGGACCCTGGTGACTTAGGAGAGGAGTTAGGGCTCGGTCCTCCCTTGGGCCCCAGTCCCCTCGGTGGCCGTCTTGTGCTCACGTGCAGTGCCATGCCCACCAGTCCCCTCCATGTGTGCCCTGTGCACCTGCCCCGGCTGCCTGCTGGGGACCGTGGCTCTCCATCTGAGCTTACCTGCTATTGTGCGTGGGGGCACTCGGGCCGGGGCGGGTGACGTTAACCAGCTGTTGAAGTACCAGAGCTCTGACTTCTCAACTTGCTCTCTAACAGAGGCAGAAAAAGTGGCTCAGGTGGCAGAAATCACCTATGGGCAGAAGGTGATGGAGAAGGAGACTGAGAAGCGGATTTCAGAAATCGAAGGTGAGCAGGAGTGACGTGCGTGCTTGAGTGTCCCTCAGACCCGCTCTGTGGCCAGCCGACGGGCGTGTCATTTCCTGCGCTCTTTAACCTCCCTTCTAGGGTGTCCTAATTGTTCTGAAGCCTCGGCTTTCTGCATGCTCAGGCCGGAGTTTGGAGGAGATTTGGACACCGGCTGGTGTCAGTCCTCTACTCCAGAGAGCGCGCATTCGTCCCCCAGGCCCTGGTGCAGAGCCGTTAGGTGCTAGGCATTGTGTTAGGCAGAAGAAAAGGAAAGTCACACGGTCGCTCAGGGCCCTGCAGTAACCTGGGTCCCAGGGAAGCTGGGGAGCCAGGCCAGGAACCCCTCCTCCAAAGGCAGCGCCACCTCTGACCCCCAAGTCTGCTCGCAGGGACCAGGCGGGGAGCAAGCGTTGAAGACGACGCGCTCTCGGCACCAGTAGCACTGTCACTGGAGAGATGGGCTCTCGTGGCTGGATTTTCTGACTGTCACCCGCCTTCGATTCCGAAGCCCTTGCCCCTTCCCACCATCCCCCGTTTCATTTCCTGTGGCACCTGACGTCAAGCAGAGCCAGGACGAAGGAGGGGCCACACGGCCCAGCCTCAGGCTACTCTGTGTTAGCTACGGTTGTTCTCATCACCAGGCCTCACACAGGCCCCTTGAGGAGCCCATTAGGAGTTCACGGGTCAGTGGTTTCTCCGAGTGGGCGCTCCTGACAAGAAAACACAGTGCCGTCTCTTAGACATACCTGTCAGCAGGTGCGAGGGCCAGCGCCCCAGCCGCACCGCAGGCTCCCACTCAGGAACCCATCCACAGACTGCCCTTTCTCCCCAGCCCCTTTGCTACAGATGCGGCCCACGTGAGGCCGGCCTCGCTCCCAAGGCACGGGCACAGAGACCACAATTTGACATCAGCCTGACAGAAAGCCATTCTCAGCTGATCAGGGACATGTATTGCTTGCATTGTGGGATTCAGTAGAATTTTTTCTTTTTCTTTGTATATTTTATTTATTTGAAAAGCAGAGTTACAGGGAGAGTGGTCTTCCATCCATTGGTTTACTCTCTAAATGGCTGCAATGGCCAAGGCTGGGCCAGGCCAAAGCCAGGAGCCAGGAGCTTCTTCCAGGTTTCCTGTGTGGGTACAGGGGCCCAAGGACTTGGACCATCCTCCCCTGCTTTTCCCAGGCACATTAGCAGCATTTTGGATTGGAAGTGGAACAGCCAGGACTGAAACCAGTGCCATATGGGAAGCAGCACCACAGGCCATGGCTTTAACCTGCTGTGCCACAGCACCAGCCCCAGAATTCAGCAGGTCTTAATCCAGACAGGTGTGGGTCTGTACTGCGGCATGGCATTCTCTCAGGCTTGTGTCAGCTGAGTCACTGTGAGTTAGCACAAGAGGAATGAGACGGGAGGCTCTGGACCTGGAGCTGTAGACGGGGTCCTAGCACTTTGCTTCACGGGGATGGAGCCACAGAAGAAGCATGCGTGTGGGAGCAGGAAGCGTCTCTGGGAAGCAGGGCCTCCTGTGATCATGCTATCAAAGTGAGGGTTTAGAGGCACAGCTGCAGACTTACCCAGAGCTACTCCCAGCACGGGCGGCCACTCTCAAAGCACTTTTTCCGCTTGGTTATCCTTACAGCAGCTTGTACAGTAGGACCCCAAGCATGCCGGCAGACTCCCCAGGGTCACAGTGGCAGCTGAGGGAACCGGTGCAGGGACCAGGAGGGGGTCTTCAGAGAGCGTGCGCTTCCTGCAGAACACGTGGCTCGTGCGCTTCACCCAGCTCTGCGCTCTTGCCCTCAGACGCTGCGTTCCTGGCCCGGGAGAAGGCAAAGGCCGACGCCGAGTGCTACACTGCCCTGAAAATAGCCGAAGCAAACAAGGTGAAGGCCGGCACAGCCTGGGGAGGGGACAGCTTGGGGTTTAGGTCTGTATGAAGTTTGTGGGAGAATGGAATCAAAGGTATGAATTTATTATAGTGCAAAAACACAGAAATTCATACATAATTTTTTCAAAATATGCATTTTCCATGTATTGTGAAATTATATTGCAGCCAATGTCATGGCATAGCAGGTAAAGCCATGGCCTCGCATCCCATATGGGCACTGGTTCCTGTCCCAGCTCCTCTACTTCCAATCCAGCTCCCTGCTAAAGCCTGGGAAGAGCAGCAGAAGATGGCCCAAATTCTTGGGCCCCTGCACCCAGGTGGAAACCTGGATGAAGCTCCCAGCTCCTGGCTTCAACGTGGCCCAGCCCCGGCCATTGCAGCCATCTGGCTAGTGAACCAGCAGATGGAAGATCCGTCTCTGTCTCTGTCTCTCCCTCTCTTTCTGTAACTCTTTCAAATAAATTTTTTAAAAATATATTTTATGCACCAAAATAAACTGATACTTTTAATTCCACTTCCACAAACTTTTTGAGGTTCTCTAATGCTGCTTGAGAGTTCCCCGGGGCGAACAGCTGCCCTCACACAAAGGCCCCGTGGCCAGAGCTGAGGACTGCTGGGCTGGGGGAGGACTTCTCTTTGAAAGAGGCCTTCCAAGGGCTTGGGCCCCTCCGTCCGTGGGGGAGACCAGGGTGGAGTCAGCCTGGCCTGCACCTGACTGCTGCAGCCATCTGGGGAGTGACCCAGTGGGTGGAAGATGGGGTGTACTTGTGTGTGTCTGCCTCCTTCCCTCTCTCGCTCTGCCTTTCAAATACATAAATCAGTAAACCTTTTGAAGAAGAAACACAGGCCTTGATGGGAGTTTCGTTTTTGTGTTAAACGTGGAAACCCCTGAGACTCTTGCAACTGTGTCTGGGAGATCTGAGATTGCTTTGTCTCAGAGTGGGGTGAGGAGCCTTTTATCTGCCTAGGGCCATTTGGATACTTCTAACAGCATGTGTGGGCCCTACGAAATGAGCAGCTTAAAAATTAGCCTGCTGTAGATGCGTTGAATTCCGAGGGCCAAACCACATGGTTTTGCAGACCTTGTGAGGCCCACAGACATTCCCCTGTCCCTGTTAGAGATACAGTTACCCTATTGATGGGCCATGAAAAATAGGGCGGTGGGGGAGATCGGTCTTTGACAGAGACCCTCTGCGTGTGAACTCTGAAGGGTGCCGCCCCAGCTTTCTCTACCAGGGCTCCACCTGAGTTCCTTTTTTGTTTTTGTCCCAGCTGAAGCTGACGCCTGAGTATCTGCAGCTGATGAAGTACAAGGCCATCGCGTCCAACAGCAAGATTTACTTTGGCAAAGACATCCCGAACATGTTCGTGGACTCGGCGGGCAGCCTGAGCAAGCAGTTTGAGGGGCTCGCCGACAAGCTGAGCTTTAGCCTGGAAGATGAGCCCCTGGAGACAGCCACGAAGGAGAACTGAAGGCAGCTTTTTGTACAACCCCAGAGGACACTTTCAAGAGATCTTTATTTTTGAAGACGAAACAGAATGCTCCTCCCTCTCACACTACCTTCTCTGACTCTCTTCCAGTTACTGCCTGAAAAAGAAGCAGTGGACCGAAACGTACCCCTTCCTGCAAGGGGCGGGGGCGGGGGTGGGGGTTGGGAGTTTTATTCAGGTAAGTAGGTGACATGACTTCTGATAAGGTTTGTAAACCATAGGTTTGGTCTCTGTCCCTTTGAAGCTGGCTGAATCAGGGAGGCCGCCATTAAGGAGTGGGCGAAACATTGGGGGGCTGCCTCCGGGTGATTTGCTTTCCCTTACCCGGCAGCATGCAGAGCGTGGGAGACATTGGCAGTGAAGGTCCCCACCAGGCACACGTGTGCTGAATATATTTGCCAGTGGGGCCATGGGGCCGTGGAGCCGTGACCGAGGGGACACGTGTCAGTGCACCTGTGAATCGCCTTCCGGGCGCACTTTGCTGAGCCCTCCCAAGGGAGAACTGGTGCTAGGTCTTGCCAGATTTTTTGTATCCTCTGCTCCTTGCTGCAGGGCTCAGAGAGTGGTGGTGTCTGACTACACTTCCAGAGTCAGAGCTTGGTCCCCACCGCACGGTTCTTTTCGAAACTTTTCACCTGTTGTGGGATCTGGTTTTTCTCAGTCTGTCTGTCGGTTCCACTCAGCATCAAGATGACAGGACCTGGCTGCTGAAGTGGGATCGTGCTCTCTGTGAGCCGCCGTAGCACCTGTGTGGCAGATGCTGCCTGTGCCCTGATCCAGTCTCTGTTGTCATGGAGATTGTCCCTCTGAAAAGCTTTGACACTTGGCTGTGAGGAGGAAGGATCAGCGGAGCACCTCTGGCCGGTGCTGGGAGTTGGTCTGACATCTTGGTAAAAGGGAGCCTCTTCTCTCAGTAGCAGGTGTTTCTGAACTCAGGGTTCCGGACAGCCACACACAGGTCAGACTGAGTGTTACATCACCAGGGACAGTTGTGTGGCCGCAAGTCAGAGTTCACACCCGAGTCCCACGTCCCATGGTTGGAATTGTCCATGTCAAAATCCATCCAGTGGTTTTTGTTTTCATTACCAGTTGGGAGAAATTGTCCCTCTGGGAGATTGAGGATGGGGAGAGCAAATATGAAAGAAAGGTTTTTCTTATATTCTAAAATTGGGGCTCATGGGGGAAGTGGGGGTGACTCTGACTTGTACAGTCCGCGAGTTGTTAAAGCAGTGCTCTGGAGTGAACTTGCAAGCCTGTCATACCCTCTGTGACCAGCTTGGGTGTCGGATTCGGTCTAACTAGCTGCCCCAAGAAAACCCCCTGTCGCCAGCCCTCTTCCCCAGGTGAATACTATGAATGGTACTTTTCTGGCTCTGATCCGCCTCATTTTCAGTTCTGTGCCCACATTTCTGGCTTACAAGATGGCCTCAGAACTCAGGCCAGCTTGCTCCTGAGTCGCACCAGGTTTGTCAGATCGTTGGGCGTCCTTGGGCCTGTCTAGAAAGATCCAGGGTGTTAACTGCCTTCCTTCAGCCTTGCCCTCCCCTGCTGTAGCTGCCGTGACTTAGAATTCTCACACCGCAGGTCCTGGTCACATGTGGTGCAGCCAGCAAAGCGTCCCTGGGAGTGGCGGGGCTTATGTGCTCCAAAGTCCCTGCAGAAGGTAGCCATCAGGGAAACGCGCCCTTCCCGTGTCAGTGCTGTCGATCTCATGTTACAAGGAACATGACAGGGTGGCCCCCGCCCCCCACACACGTGTCTCTTCCTTGTAGTCTGCGCTCTTGCTGCCCCGCCTCAGAAAAGACTACTTTTCTGTAGTGTGGGACCTGAGCAGGGAGCGCTCCGTGCTCTGCGCAGGCTCTTAGCTTCAAAGGCTCGCTGGTACCGGGAGCCAGTGGCACAGAAGGCCTGCTGCAGCGGCCCCTCCCCTCAGGCCAGCGTCACCGCCTCTTGAAACAGACCATCAAAATGTTGTCGTAGCCATCAGCCTAGATCCGGTGGTGGCCAGTAGTGTCAGAACAGGAAAATCGTGGACGCCAGCTCTTTCTAAGCATGGGACAACGAACCTGTCTGTGCGTGTGTGGCTTTGTTTTTTACCATTGCTAGAAAATCTGCTCTTAGAACGTTTGAATTCTAAACGTGTGAAATGTGATAGCCTGCAGTTTTGTAGGCAGTGCTGCTATTTACCAGTAGAACTTCTAGCAAATGAAGTACCTGTCGATAAAATGCAATTTTTCTGGGAAGGAAAAGTCAACTTTGGCCGAATGTTTGTTACTCATTAAACTTTGCAGAACTGAATCATTTTCAGTACTGTTTTTAATCGCTCTTTAAAAGATCCCGTCAGAATGTTTGCAAAGGAAGCCAAAGTTTGTTAACACTTTTTCTACAACTAAAATAAAATAGATCTGGGAGGATCTGTGATCATATTAAATTGGGGAGGGGAGAATCTTAGCAAAATGTTGACCCAAAGAAAGGAGATGTTTTATCAATGGTCTGTTAGCAGTTTGTGTGGGTCTGTCTTCCATTGAAAGGGAGTAAGTTGTGAGAGTAAGATGGTCATAGTTGCTGGCTCTGGCTGTCTGCGTTTGGGTGAGGGTGAGTTGTATCTTAGCTGGTGGTTCCTGTGTTGCTGTGAATTAACTCGTTTTTAGTTCTAGGCCAGAGGGTTCTAGCCACTGTTTCTGTTGTTTCCTCACAGAGAGAGGTAACAGCCAATCATTTTGTTTGCATGTCCAGTCCTGTTTGTGTAGGCTAAGAGCCCTCTGTTGGGGGCCAGGGCGTGGTGTCCCTCTTTGTAACTGAGGAGCCATTCTTATTATACTAATCATTCTGTAAATGATGCTGCGGGATCCCTTGCCTTGGGTTGATGTTGGAGAGATCATTTGGACAACACTGAAGGTCTTGTGTGAATTGATGTCTTAGCTTTGTTTTTCAGTCCGCTAAATAAATTGTGTCTTTGTATCTGCTTTCTTATTGAAGTGAAATTTAAAAATAGCTAATGTAGGATAGGTGAGTTAAGTTCAAGACTTTCCTAAAAAATATAGTTAGATAAAAATCTATCCCCCTCGTCTACATAGGAACAATTTTTTTTTAAAGTTGCAAATACATCACAATTCTTTTTTTTTTTTTTTAAGATTTATTTTATTTATTTGAAAGACAGAGTTACAGAGAGAGGCAGAGACAGAGAGAGAGGTCTTCCATCCGCTGGCTCACTCCCCAGATGGCCACAACGGCCGGAGCTGTGACAATCCAAAGCCAGGAGCCAGGAGCTTCTTCCAGGTCTCCCACGTGGGTGCAGGGGCCCAAGGACTTGGGCCATCTTCTACTGCTTTCCCAGGCCATAGCAGAGAGCTAGAACAGAAGAGGAGCAGCCAGGACTAGAACCAGCGCCCAGATGGGATGCCGGCGCTCAGGCCAGGGCTTTAACCTGCTGCGCCACAGCACCAGCCCCATATACATCACAATTCCTAGCCCCTCCTCTAGAGGGGCTCTATCATTTTAAAGAATTCATATACCGCTGCAATACTGCTCCAAAGGACAGAGATATTTTCTTGAGTTCTAAATAACTTTTATTACACTATATTGTGTTAAATAATTATGGGAGATATTATTTTGAGCTAAGTACCTACACTGGGCTGCAACAGACTTGGCTGAAAACCAAAATTGAATTACTGAACTACAGGGCAGGCTATTTCAGTGGACCCCAAACTCACTTGTATATCAGTTCTGCAGGGAAGACCCAAATGTTGCATGGAACATATTAAAGCAAGTATTTATTTATCTGAAGTCCACATTTAACTGGGTATCCAACATTTTTATTTGGTAAATCTGACAATCCTAGCTCAGACTCTCAGGTTTCTTGAATGGTGTTCCCATTCTTCCTGGGTTTCAAAGCCTGCTTCACAAATAATGTGAACTTGCAATTGAATAAGTAAGTTAAGAGCATCATTACAGGAGTCAGATTGCCCAGGTTCAAATCCCTGCTCTACCACTTCCTAGCTGTGTGGTCTTGGGTTAAGTTGTTTTTTGTTTTGTTTTGTTTTGTTTTTTGACAGGCAGAGTGGATAGTGAGAGAGAGAGACAGAGAGAAAGGCCCTTTTTTTGCCGTTGGTTCACCCTCCAATGGCCGCTGCGGCGGGCGCACCGTGCTAATCCGAAGGCAGGAGCCAGGTGCTTCTCCTGGTCTCCCATGGGGTGCAGGGCCCAAGCACTTGGGCCATCCTCCACTGCACTCCTGGGCCACAGCAGAGGGCTGGCCTGGAAGAGGGGCAACCGGGACAGAATCCGGCGCCCCAACTGGGACTAGAACCCGGTGTGCCGGCGCCGCTAGGTGGAGGATTAGCCTATTGAGCCGCGGCGCCGGTCCTTGGGTTACGTTTTTAACCTCTCTAGGCTTTCGTTCCTTCTAAAAATGCATTGAGTGGGGGCCGGCATTGTGGCTTGGGACTCCAACATCCTGTTGGGATGTCCCAGTTGCTCTTCTTCCCATCTAGTTCCCTGCTAATGCACCCAGGAAGGCAGTGATTGACGGCTTAAGTATTTGACTTCCTGCACCCACCTTGGAGACCAGGATAGAATTCCCATCTCCTGGCTTCGGCCTGGCCCGGTCCTGGCTGTTGCAGCTGCTGGGGAGTGAACCAGTGAGTAGAAGATGTATATGTCTCTCACTCCCTGACATCTGCTTGTCAAATAAGTAAATCTTGGAAGAAAAAAAAAAATGAGTTGGGGCCAGTGTTGTGGCGAAGCAGGTAAGGCTGCCGCCTGCAATGCCAGTATCCTATATGGGCACAGGTGTGTGTCCCAGCTGCTCCACTTCCAATCCAGCAGCCTGCTAATGTGCCTGGGTAAGTAGTGGAAGACGGCCCAAGTGCTTGGGCCCCTGCCACCCACATGGGAGCAGATGGAGTTCCAGGCTCCTGACTTCAGCCTGGACCAGCCCTAGCCGTTGCAGCCATTTGGGGAGTAATCCAGGAGATGGAAGATCTCCCTGTCTCTCTGTTGCTCTGCCTTTCAAAATAAGTAAATCTTTTTTTAAAAAAAATTGCATAATGGTCAGTTAGCTATTCTCTAGCCCCTCAGGGACCAAAGAAAAGGAAATTAGGTGGCAGAAATTTTAAATAACTTACTTGCGATGGTGTGGCTCAAGGTTGAAGCAGGCAGAAGTCGTTATCTGCAAATACAAAGTCCAGGAACTCACGTGGAGGACAATTTCTCCTTGATAGCTTCCAGAAGATTCTGGCCATCTGGGGTGGTTTAAATGTCATTGTTCCAACATAAGATCACATGATCTCTAAAGATCCACCCCAGGCCTAGGTTTCTAGGGTTGACATTTCAGAAGCCAGTGGGACAGCATGTTTGCAGAAGGACCGCTGGTCTGGATTCATTTAAAGTGCAACACGGGGATTATTTCCCCATTACTCTTCAGAGCCAAGTAATCAGGCAACGGTAATTTTCTATTATTTTTATCCTTTTTTTAAAAAAAATATTGATTTACTTTTTTGAAAGAGCTACAGAGAGGCAGAGGTAGAGGCAGAGAGAGAGAGATCTTCCATCTGTTGGTTCACTCCCCAGATGGCCACAATGGCTGGAGCTGTGATGATCCAAAGCCAGGAGCCAGGAGCTTCTTCCAGGTCTCCCACCAGGGTGCAGGACCCAAAGACTTGGGCCATCCTCTACTGCTTTCCCAGGCCATAGTAGAGAGCTGGAGTGGAAGAGGAGCAGCCAGGACTTCAACTGGCGTCCATATGGGGTGCCGGCACTGCAGGTGGCGGCCCCTATCCTTTTTTAACATCCAAAAAGAATCACAGTAGGTTCAGAGGGAAACAGTTTTTGAAATCCATATGTTTTTCTCATCATTCGGGGCCTCAGACTATAGAGGTAAATGTTTTAAACATTTGATGGCATTTATGGTGAATAGGTATGCTGTGTTTTAAATTGTTATAAAGTCAGTTCCTCCAGATATTTAGCTTTTTAATCTTGCTCTTTTTCCCCTTGTCCTTGCAAATTATTGGAGTAATTTAAAGACCATTACCAGTGATGAAGTGATTTTGGACTTGTATTTTTCAAAGATTACACGGTAGGGGAGAATGAAAGGTTCAATTGGATGGTTAATGGCCCAGGAAGAAGAAGGAAAGAAACTAAAATAAAACAAAGGAGACAAAAATTAAAAGTGGAATAAATTACTTCAAAAGCACAAGTAAGAGGTCGAGAAATTAGAATGTGGAATGTTAATGGCACTGAGGTCACCATGATATTTTTGTCTCTGCTTCCATTCTTCAAGGTCATAAATGTTAGAGATGAAAAGCATCTTAGAAAGAAATACACAGGAGAGCCTCTCTCTCTCATCCTGGGCTCCCTGGCTTCCTTTACGGAGCACTGCCTCAATAAATGTCTGCAGAGGGGCTAGCCTGTGCTCTAGCAGGGTAAGCAGCCGCTTGCAATGCCAGCATCCCGTATCAGAGTACCTACTTGGAGTCCCAGCTTCTCCTCACTTCTGATCCCGCTTCCTGCTAATGTGCCTGGGAGGCGGTCGATGGGCTGGGGGTGTGTGTGTCCCTGCCATCCAGTGGAACACCTAGATGGAGTTCCAGGCTCCCTGGCCTGGATGGAAGATTTGTCTCCGCTCCTCCCCCCAGCTCCTCCCTCTCCCTCTCTCTGTTGCTCTGCCTTTCAAATAAATGAGTCCTTAAAAAGAAAAGAAAATGTTTATGGAGTGGATAAGGGGGTGGGGAGACAACCTTGCCTTGTAACTCAGAGAGAAGAGGCAGATCTGTTAAGATAGTACTACTTGTCATAGTGACCCATCTCCTAGATTAAACGTTCCTTCGTTCTGCGAGGTATTCGTGATTTCCTAAAGTGTTTTCCAAATACCATGCAGTGATCACTGAAAGCACGTCATGCTCAGCCAGTCCTCTGCACATCCCTTCCCCAAGAGCCCCGTTGTCACCCCTGGACCACTTCCTGCTGGCCAGCTCCTTCCAACTTTGTATCCCTACTACAGACACCTCTTACTGCTCACCCCATGAAACACTATTCTGATGATTCTGAATTTGTTATTACTTTGGTTGGAAGAGAAATCAAGCCCAGAGACTTTATGTGAACACAATTGCTCCTAATGTCTTCAGCAGTCCAGCTTACAGATAACCCAGTAATGTGTACCATCATAAATGACCAGACTCTTCCCGAAAAGATGTCCTTTTGGAAGGGGAAGGGCGCCAAAGGAAAGAGTGTTTAATTTGCATATAATCATTGTTCATACTTAGAATTATCACAATGTGATCATTTCCGTTTTCTTAAACATTATCATTCCTTCACGTTAAGGACCTCTGAACTCCTCTTCTAGTTCTTTATAACATATATAACACACCATTACGCACTGATGTCGCCCTGCTATGCCACACACCATCAGCCCTCCGGTGTCACTGTGTCTTGGTACCTGTTATCCAACCTCCCATTCCCCCTCTCCTCCTCACCCTCCCTAGCCTCTGGCAACCACTAATCTACTTTTATCAAATCTTCCACACATGAGCAAGAACACACAAACTCTGCCTTTCTGGGCCTGGCATATTTCACTGTATATAATGTCCTACAGTTCCATCCATGTGGCCACAAATGATGAGATTTTGTCTTTGTGGACGGTTGAATGATACACACACACAGACTCACCACGTTTTCTTTATTTTCTGTATCTTGGCTGTCACGCTACAGCAAGCATGCAAATGCAGATGGTTCTTCCATGGACTGATTTCCTTTCCCTTGGCTGTACACCCAGCAGTGGGATTGCTGGAGCACGTGGTAGTCCTATTTTTAGTTGTCTCAGGTGCATCCATGCTGTTTTCCGTAATGGCCGTACTAATTCACTTAGGGAGAATCCTCCCTGGTGTCTGTTAGACTTTGTCTCTGATCTTGGTCCTTCCCACCCGGGTGAGGTAATGTAGCACTGTGGTTTTTATTTGCATTTC